AATTGCAAAAACATTCAGCTGCAGATTCAAGATGCAAATTTCCTTTTCCACTCCATCCCAAATGTTCTCTATGTGACTGAAATCTGGTGACTGTGGAGGTCATTTTAGTACAGTCAGCTCTTTGTGATATTCAAGAAACCAGTTTAAGATCATCTGTTCAAAGTCACTTTTCTTTTCTTCCCCATTCTGATGTGATAGATTTGAACTTCAGCAGTTTGTCACAACCTGGTCAACATGCTTAATCCAACTGAGCTTCTGCCATGTGATTGAATTTTATTGAGTAACACTCCCACCTGAAACTCCTCATGTAACCACCTCTAATAGTTTTGTTCCAACAGAACACTGAGAACTTGATCACAAAGAAACAAGACTGCTGAGGGTATCAGGTAATTAAAAAACATAATGTAAATCCATATTAATATAATTTATGTTTTCAACTTGAATGTATAATTTAAATTCTTTCAAGAGCTTTATGATGGCAAATAATCTTGAAGGCTTGTGAAAATTAACACATTCACATGATAACTTTTACCATTACACACAGGTTGATCTCATGGGAGTGATGTCACCCAGATCTCGTTTGCTATGGAAAAACAAGAATGATAATGCAACAATAAACTGCAGCCATACAAAGGGTGTTAGCTGTTTTCAGATGTATTGATACAGACAAAACAAAACAGAGATTGTGACCCCCTAAGATGATATGTTATTGGCTCATTTTCAAACTTTAATAGCTGTTATAATCATTGGAAGAAACATAATATTAATTACCCTCCATAAAAAACAAGCAAACATGCATATATGGTTCACAAGCTGTATCCGTTTTCTTGTTAATAATTTAAAATATCTGAACTTTTAAACAGTGATCAAAAATGCTACATATTCTAAAATCTGTTTTCCTCAGCCCTCATCTTGTATTGTTATTGGAAGTGATGACCTGTAGGGGGACCAACAGTATATATACACTCCACTCTACACTTCAGCTTCACTAAGCAACACTCCCACCTGAAGTTTGTCACACGTCTGTCTCAAACTGGTCTTGTAAAAAACATGATGAACAAACGAGGCTGCCTCATTTTAAACTTTTTGCTGTGGGTATCAGGTAATTCGCAGTAAACTCTTTTATTATACCAATTCAACTCAAACTATTTCACATTTTGAAACAACTTATTTAAATTGACAGTTATTTTGTTCTAAGAAATTTTGGATAACAAAACACTTTTTTAATGCTAAAAATAGTAGAAAGGAAAATAAAAAACCTATAATAATGTGCATCGTTACAGGTCGAACATATGGAAGTTATATCAACCAGGCCTCCATGCTTTGGAAAAACCAGGGTGAAGATGCAACTCTAAACTGCAGCCATATCATGACAATAGAGTTTTACCAGATGTACTGGTACAGACAGCTGCCTGGAGAACCAATGAAACAAATGGTTTACACTATCCCAAAAGCCGAACCTGACTTTGAGCCAGACTTCAGGGATGAAAAATTCTCAGTAACAAAGCCTGACGCTCACAGTGGGACACTGACAGTGAAGAATTTGGTGCCAGGAGATCAAGGCTTGTATTTCTGTGCTGTCAGTATTCACAGTGATACAGCCACACTCAACACTCGTACAAAAACCTCAGATCATGAACTGTAGGGGGATGTCAAGGACCACAAATACTCACAACTGAACGTGGATTCATCATGTGAATAGTGACACCACAGATAACAGGATGACAGAGCTCCACACAGAGCAGTGACACTCCCACCTGCAACTCTGTATGTCAACATAAATTCATAGTTTCATTTACTCATTCATGCCTTACATCAAGCAGACCTGTGAATATAAATTGATCTATGCCATCTGACAAAGAAGGTTCAAGTTTCTTCTACTGAAGCTTTACAGTTCCCACTCAGTGGGTAAAATCTCAGACATGTCTCAACTCTAAATTTGAAAGATGTCTGAAAAGCAACCACAGCTCTGAACATTAAGTCCAACATGTTGGAGGACACCACACAGGGTGTGGAACCAGAATTTGTATGTTCAGAAGAAAAAATAAACACCATTTTTCCCCCTATCTGAATACAGAGACAGCTATCATCTTGTATTCAGCACCGACAAGCTGACAAACATCTTATCAGTCTTAAAGTTTGAAATCACAACTAAAACT